CTATCGATTTCCCTATTCCCTTGCTAATTTAACCGTCAGATACCGTCGGTGTCGATTAAAACGAAGTATTTTTTCCAATAACTCAACGTCCCATTGGACTAGACCCGTATAACAGCTTGGCCATAAAAACTTGCGGTAGCGACCAGCAGTAGAAATCTATATCTAATTATAATAAAATCGTAGAAAAGTCAAAACTGTACATTGTATATTTTTTTTAAAGAATACTCGGCGCGTGATCTACAGGCGATACTGAAGCCAAAAATATGGTTAATAGAATTTTTGTCTGTTTGTCTGTATGTATGTCCGGGATGATCTCAAAAAGTACTGCATGGATTTACTTCAAATTTTATATGGTTATTACTAACAGGTCGGGTCAACATATAGGCTACATATTATCACGCTATCACCTATGGGGTAAGCGCAGTAAATCACTATGCCACGTAAACGAAGTCGCGGGCACAGCTAGTAAATAAATACAAATGTCTAAACTCATAATTAACTTTTTAAAAAAAATAAAACCGACTTCAAATGCGAGAACACAAAAAAAAACTAAAAATTAAAAAATAATTCCTAATACCTATTACCTAATACTATAATTTTTCTAAACTATATCAAAGTAATTAAAGTTAAACCATCTAAATATCTTAAAATAGTTATACTTATATACCTACCTATTGTTTTTTGGAGTCGGTGCCAGTGCCAGCGTATTAAGTTTACCCGCGAACTAGAGACGTGCGACGCGGTGGCGGGGGACGCATGGCGCGAGGCGGGGCCGCGCGGTGCGGCGGGGGACGCGGGCGCGTGCGGTCTTGCTCGAGTAAGCGACCCGAAGGCGGGCAGACGCTTGAGGGCAGACTACGTTGACGCTCGTGTCAAAAATACTGAATTTTCGGATGCGCAATATTTCAAATTATTGCTTTCTTTTTTGTTTGTTGTATTCTATTGTAGGATTTGTAGGTATTTGTTATTCTTTGTTGGTATAGGTTTAGTTGTACCAGGCTACATACAACTTATTTCTTAATATTTTTGTTTCATTGAGTACTTTTTCTTATTTCATTAGGTTTAATATTCATTTATTACTGGCACCGACTCCAAAAAACAATAGGTAGGTATATAAGTATAACTATTTTAAGATATTTAGATGGTTTAACTTTAATTACTTTGATATAGTTTAGAAAAATTATAGTATTAGGTAATAGGTATTAGGAATTATTTTTTAATTTTTAGTTTTTTTTTGTGTTCTCGCATTTGAAGTCGGTTTTATTTTTTTTAAAAAGTTAATTATTTTATTTTAAAATTTTTAGTGTTACTTTTTTGTAGATACCCTTAGTGCATTTAATATGGGTAGGCCTACTAAACGCGCAGCCTTAATGAGACAGCGCCGTTTGGAGGAAACAAAAGAAGAAAGGGAAGTGCGTTTAAAAGAAAGTAGAGAAAGAAATGCTAAAAATATATTAAAGGAGAGTGATGAGCAGCGGACTTCTAGACTTTCGAAAATGAGAGCATACGAAAAGTTAACCAGAATCAATGAAAGCCCCGAACACCGGACTCATCGGCTTGGTTTGATACACGATCGCTTATCTAGCGAAACCGAAGAGCAACGCTCTCACCGGCTCGGCTTGATACACGATCGTTTATCTAGCGAAACGGAAGAGCAACGCTCTCATCGGCTAGGTTTGATACACGGTCGCTTATCTAGTGAAACCGAAGAGCAACGCTCTCATCGGCTCGGTTTGATACACGATCGTTTATCTAGCGAAACCGAAGAGCAACGCTCTCACCGGCTCGGGTTGATACACGATCGTTTATCTAGCGAAACCGAAGAGCAACGCTCTCACCGGCTCGGTTTGATACACGATCGTTTATCTAGCGAAACCGAAGAGCAACGCTCTCACCGGCTCGGTTTGATACACGATCGTTTATCAAATGAATCTACCGAATCGAGGATGACCCGATTAAATGCTATGATACAAGTGAGTCGTAACCAAAGGGTCATGTCTTCTAAAAATGATTTCGAAAGAGCAATTAATATTTTCGCGGACGTTCCATGTGCGGTTTGTAACAAGGCATTATACCCACAACAACGTTGCAATTTAAGCACTACAATGTTCAGTGCCTTATTACCCGAAGAACTGGTTAGTTTGCGTACTATTACGACATGCTCTCGTTGTCACAATAACATTAGAAAACGAAAAACACCACCGGCTGCTTTCTGGAATAATATGACTGTTGCCTCAATACCTGAAGAGCTAGCTAATTTGACAAAACTTGAAGAACGATTTTTATGTCGAGTGGTACCGTTTCTTAAAATAATGAAGCTGCAGAACAGATTCTGCCAGGATTGGTGCAAGGGACAGGTAGTGTTGTTCGCAAAAGACGTCGCAGAAATCGCTGAGCAGCTGCCACTTGCCCCAAACCAAGCAGGATTAGTTCTTGTTGTGGAAAGTCTAGAAAATTTGCAACGTTTTCGAGAGTTTGTTGTGAATATGAGCAGGCTACATAGAGCTCTAACTTGGTTAATGACTAATAATGTCCTATACAGAGATGTTAGAGCCTTATTTGATAATATTTTAGATATTTCTGAAATTGTTCAAATCGCTGAAGATCCGGCAAATACTGGTGAGTTAACGTCTGTTCCTCAAAATCATTATGTTAATTTGAATGAAAACATTTCAATTTTACATGGATCATTTCACCAAGCAGATTCTAGATTTAGCTTACATTCTCGTGGCAAACAATGTACTGCTGTAGCGGCTGTAGCTTGTGCAGCATTTTGTATGGGGGAACCAGAGCTATGGGCTAAAATTGACATTGACTATATAGTTATACTCGGAGATAAACTGTACACGGAGTCTGTTGCTACAAGACAAGCCCCTGCAGACGGTGAAGTTAACTCTGAATATCTCGCCGCTAGTGATCTTGCACCGCAAATATTGTATAACAGGAAAATAATTAATATCTCTGTTGTTGAGAGCAACTATAATGGTCATATAGATAACGATGAAAGTTCTGCCGGCTTGCCAAATCTAAAAAATGCCCTTACATTGTTTTTCAGCGACAACCGTTGCGGTTTACTTACTGCAAATGCCATCACTGTAGCGGTATATTGTAAATCTGCAGGTGACACCTATACATATTGGTTGTTCGATTCACATGCCCGTGGACCTAAGGGTGCGAAAGCCCCACGGCGAGGTGCTGCCTGTTGCATGAGATTTGAGCACATTCATGATTTGTATAACACATTGCGACGAAATTTATATTTGGTAAATAAAGCCCAAGACTCTCTTATGCATAATGTTTACTCACTGACTCCTTTGCTTGCTGAAAACCAACAAGAAGTGCACCCACATAGTCCTGTGTTAGATAGCAGTCACGTTTCTCAGCATGCATCTCTTCCGATCTCAGCTCCAGTCCAACAGCAGTCTTCACAACCACAAGTTCATCAAATTGAAAATATAATAGAATCGACAAGTATGTTGCGCGGCATAGACGAATCTGTTCCAAATCTAGAGACTATAGTTACAGTGAATCCCGACTCTAATACTAATGACAGCGAAATGAGGATTGCTGAGATCAAAAGGAAAACAGCACCGCCATTAAATGTAGATCGTGAGAAAAGAACAGAGGAACTTGCATGGTATTTTCTTTTCCCTGATGGTAAAAATGGATTTGGGGAAGAACGACCAGTAAAGATTACAGCTTTGGATTATTTCCAAAGTCGAATCATGAGCGTAGATAAAAGATTTAGTCGAAATGACTATTTGTTTTTTGCTCTGTCCATCGTTGAATATTTTCGGGCTAAATCTAGTGTATCGGTTTCATGCAGGATGCGTCAGGGTCAGGGCGAACAAACACCTCGAGGTCTCATTGACAACATGCATCTTACCATGAGAAATATACGAGGATCAGCATCTTATTGGCATAAATGTTGCTCTGAACTCATTGCGATGGTCCGAACGTTAGGGGCACCTACGTGGTTTATGACGTTTTCTTGTAATGACCTTAACTGGCGAGATATGATAAATGCATTACTAATCGCAGATGGTCGTAACACAAATGAAGCAGAAAGCCTGTCATTTCCTGATCGTTTGGCGTTGGTACAAAAACATCCTGTAGTTGTCTCTCGACAATTTACGATTCGCGTCAATGCTCTCATGCGATTTCTTAAAAGCAATCCAGATGTCTTAGGAGGTCCAGTAGTAGACTTTTGGTATAGGATCGAATTCCAAAATCGAGGAAGCCCACATCTTCATATGTTGGTATGGTGTCACAATGTTCCAGATTTCTCTACTCGAGAGGGTGTCGAGGTTATTGAAAGGGTTGTTTCATGTTCGCTAATAGACAATGATCCTACATTGCAGAAATTAGTAGAGGCTGTGCAAATACACAAACACACTAACACGTGTTACAAAAACCGCAACGACAGTTGCTGCCGTTTTGGATTTCCCCGGCCACCACGTGAGAGTACTGTTTGCTTAGGTCCGGATGAAGTTTTGTCAAACAATGGCCGATTTTGTTGTTTGAAGAGAACTGAAGACGAAAGCATGATAAATAACTACAATCCTATTCTGCTGAATCTATGGGCAGGAAATATTGATGTCCAGCCGTGTGGTAACATAACAGCAGTTGCGTATTATGTTGCCAAATACGCAAGTAAGTGTGAGCCCCACGATACCGGTGAAGTCATACGAGAGGCTGTTGCTAAGGCGAAAAGGCAAGGTGGTGCTGTTTGGACACAGCTATTTGCAGTATCAATGGCCATTTTGTCTCAACGTCTGGTAAGTGCTCCGGAATGTGCATACAGACTATGTCATTTACCGCTAAAAATGTCTTCTCGGAAATCAGTCTTCGTAAACAGCTGTAAACCGAATGAACGTTTCAGACTCCTACGGTTCGATAGTGATGACACGTCTGTTTTTAATAATATTTTTGACCGGTATGTGTTACGACCAGACGAATTAGAAGATTTAAGTCTTGCTGAGTTTGCTGTGCGCTTTGAAATGGTGTCAAACCCAACATGGAGTGAAGAGGATGGTGACGAAGAGTTAAGAGCCGAAGACGTTACTCCAGCAAGATTTATTCGACTAAGGGATAACACACGGATGCGTGTAAGGAACAAGCCAGCAGTATTACGCACGCGATACTTTACATTAAACAGTGACAAAGAATCTTACTATTACAGCTTAATAGTATGTCACGTGCCATTCCGTGACGAAAGTGACCTTCTGCATGAAGAGGAAACTGCTGAGGCGTGTTTTATTCGGCGACAACGAGAACTTCGCCCGTTACAGGGCAACGTAAGTGCAGAAGAGTTTGCTCACGCGGAACAGACCATACTACAGGCGCTTGCCCAAGCAGTCGCACTCAATGCTGCCCGTGAAACACATGATGTTAGTGCCCCTTTAATTTGTGGTGGTGAACAAATCGTCAATAATATTGATGACAATTATTGTGAAGATGTAGATGAAAGATCTACAATGTCTGATGAAATCTTCTTGGCTAGCATCAGAGGATTAAATGTGCAACAGAAAGATCTTTTCCAAAAAGTTTCTGTAGCTGTCGAGAATGATTTACATGGACAAGATGGGCAATTATTATTTTTCATCACTGGTGGTGCAGGTAGTGGGAAGTCTTTCGTCTTGAAATTACTTGTGGAACATATAAAACGGTGTTATGCACCTACAGTTGACGTATTGCTCAAGGCAAAATTTGTTGAGGTCGGATCTTTGACAGGTGTCGCTGCGCGTCAAATACTTGGAAAAACCTTACATTCAATATTCTCACTTCCGATTGAAAAAGGAAATACCATGACATATAAAAAACTCACTGGTCAAAAGTTAGAGAATGAAAGACGAAACTGGCGTCATATTAACTTGCTGATCATTGACGAGATATCGATGGTTTCCTACGAGAACTTACGCATTATACATTTGCGTCTCCAAGAATTTAAAAACAATAACAAGTTATTTGGAGGGGTACACGTACTGCTTTTTGGAGATATTCTTCAACTACCACCAGTAAAAGGACATTGGTGTTTTATTCAACCGCCATGGTTTTCGGCCGAAATTAATTTATGGCAGCAGTTCTCCTTTTGTGAACTGACCATCAACATGCGCCAGCAAAACGATATTGAGTTCATCGATCTTCTCAATAGCCTACGAGTAGGTGATTTAACAACGGGTCATCTGGAGTTACTCTGTGAGCGGCGACACGTGCCTATGTCTGGTGATTTTGCTGATGGTGTTGCAGTCCGTATCTTCCCCACAATACGTCAAGTAGACAATTATAATGATAAAATGACCGCTGAAAATTCCAAAACTAACCGAATGTACACCATAAATGCCGTAGACGAGTCTCGCGAGGTGGCAACTTATGGCATAAAACCACCAGACAATGTTATACCTAAAGACATTAATAACTGTGGTGGTTTTCTACTAAGTTTAAAATTGGGTGTCGGATCACGAGTGATGTTGAGACGTAATATTTCGGTATCCGATGGGCTCGTAAATGGTGCAATGGGCATTGTCAAAGCAATAAAATGGCCTGCTCTGCGGCGAGATCAACTGGAGGAAGGCGAGTTGCCTGAAGCAGTACTTATACAATTTGATGACGCGACTATTGGGTTAAGAATGAAGGATAAAGATGGATACATATCAATTTCACCTGTTTGTACCACTTTCCAAGCGCAGAGGGGATATGGAGACGTCGAGCGAAGAATGTTACCGCTAATTTTAAGCTGGGCAGTAACAGTGCACAAATTGCAAGGCACCACCCTTAATACGGCTGTAATTGATTTGGGGAAGAAAAATTTCGCAAAAGGGCAAGTTTATGTGGCTCTTAGTCGCGTCAAAACATTAGATGGCATTGCTTTGTCCGATTTGGATGCTAATAAATTATTAAATCGACCACACGACGACAAAGCTCTCACTGAAATGATGAGATTGCGTAATCTTAGTGAATAGAGTGTAATTAGTAAGATTTATCAAACTCTACGCACGCCGCTCAGTACTCCCAGTGCCATTAGATATCTCGTAACAACTAACGTTCTATTCTTGGGGGTGAAATATAAAAAATAAT